GGAGTTTAAGAAAGGAAGGAAGACTTTTAAAACTTGTGGTCCAAAATGAATGATAGAAATTTGTGTGGTTGTAAATCATTTCATTAAGGGTAAAAAAGACATTTTATAGGCAAATTGTTACTTAAAATAGAAATGTGTCATTCTTTTTGGGACTGACTAAAAAGGAAAGTAAGTCATATAAATTGGGACAGAGGGAGTATTAATTAGTTAGAGACTGCTAGTTTAGTGTGGTACTAGAGTCTTATAGGCTATACTTCTATCAAGCGAAAGGCTAATGTGACTTAGGTTATTATATATAGAATAAGAAATTAGACATAAAAATAAATATAAAAAACCCTAACAAATAAAACTTAATTCCTTAAATTCAAATTCAAATAAATGCTATTGAATTTATTTGAAAATTTTAAAGTTAAAGTTTAGAGTTGTAGTTGCAAAAAATATATTTAGAAATTGAATTTACTTTTTCTAAATGTGATTAATATTCCCCACCCTCTCCCTCCAATTTCAAAGAATTAGTAAAGTTACTCAACCTAACTAATTTTTCTAAAACATACCATCAAATTTGTTCTAAAACAGTAACATCTCAAAATAAATAGCCACATATCATAAGTCATAAAAAAAAAAAAGTTATTTGGATGTACTTTTTTCTTAAAAAAACATGAAATATAATTTAAATAGGATCATTTTTATAAAAATAAAAAAGGGTAAAATTGAAATATATAAATATATATGTAATAAAAATGAAAACAATTTTTTTGATATTTCCTAAATTCCAAATATAATTTGACCAAATTCTGATTTTTAATTAAAATGAAAAAATAATTCCAACAAAAAAGAGAATGATTTTCATGACCAAAACAAATATTTCGTAAGTATTTTAATTATTAAAAATGCATTAACCGTTAAAAAATAAATAATAGGTGCATTACTGTTTTTTGATAATGATAAAAGCAAAAAAATCAAAAACAGAAAAGAAGAAGAATGTCAAATGACCACGATGATTATTGGAGTTTTGGAGGCACTGAGCTTTCAGAAGGCCCTTTGAGATCTGTTAGAGGAAAGATATTAATACTGATATGATGGATATAGTTGGATGGTATTGATTGATCGAGGTCGGATTTTAGGTTGATTTCATTTAAATTCAGTATTTTAAACGTAATATATAAAGTTATATATATAATTTTGAGAAAATTAAGTTCATGTCGATCTCCTTGTAGCAAAATAATTTCATACAAATACTCTCTTATTGATAATAGTGATAACTATCAATCCTATGTTGAGATTCAACCCATTGAAATTTAGGTCTAAGAAGGGTACTAAAATATACTTGAAACTGTAGAGACTCATAGTTAAAGCTTCTAGATTCTCTATTATCATCCATCGACCATAGTGAATAGAGGAGAGGTCACCCTCCATTAGAATCAACTCAACAATCGTAAAATGGGAAGGAGATCTAGAATTTCGATTTCATCGGAACTCAACATATAAAGATGGTATATTCATATTAAATGATATCATTATAATATTCTAAGTTATTCAATGATACATGATGATATTATCATATTATATTCATATATTATTATGATATTAAAATGGTGTAATTGAGTAACAACTATTATTTCACGAAACCAATTCTCAATCTTTAATGTGGAACTTCTAAATCCTTAATGATATCATATGACATATTGTTATGATATCATTGAAGAACAACCATATATTTGAAAAAATTGCACAAATGATATCAACCATATATATATATACATATATATTATAAAGATTTTTCTAAGTCAGTCAATGGTACATGAATGATACCACCATAATATTGATATTGAAATGATATAATTAAAGAATAACACCATTGTTTCACCAACTCCATCATCAATCATTAATGAGGCGCTTCTAAAATCTTCAATGATAACATAACAATATATTGCATAACACGAATTGCACAAATACTAAATGATACCATCATAGTATAGATATTATGTGATGATATCATAAAGGTATTCCTAAGTCATTCCATCATACGTGAATGATACTACCACGATATATTCATATATTATCATGATACTAAAATTGAATAATTGAGGAACAACCACCGTTTTACCAAGTCAATCCTCAATCTTTAATATGTATTTGTGTGTATCAAATAAAGTAAAGGCAAATTGGGCCTAGGTTAGGAAGGAGGTACGTCGTGTAACTGTTGAAGATGAAGGAAGCTGATGATTGGAACATGTCAAAGAAACAGGTCCAACGAAGC